AGTGCTCGTGGGGCTCGGGCTTCCCAGCCTGCCGTGCCCTCCCAGCCCTTATGAGGCAACTACTGGGAGGTCTTCGTCGGAGGGACTGAGGAGGATTCAGCCCCATTGGGAGGCTGTTACGCCGGAGTGGGCCTCGGATTAAGCGGGATTAAGCCGGATCAAGCGGGATTAAGCCGGATTAAGCCTGATTTCGGACCAGGGCAAAATCAGAATGTGACCTCCCAGGAACTGTATCCGAACAACCCCACGTTGGTGGGCCCGCGGCACGTACTCCAGCATGCCGGACGAGGTCGTGAAGAGGATGAACCACTGCATCAAGTTCTGTGCCGTGCCGTCGATGGCCCTGCCCCACGCTACCCCACTCGCCATCCCGCCTCGAGCAATGCAGTGAGCAGCCGAGGGGTAGCTCGGCGCACGAACGCCTTGGGCGCTGCCGACTCATGGTCTGTCGCGCAAAATCTTGGGTATTTTTCTTCCCTTCCTCCCCATCCCTCATTCATGGCGCCACTCTTCCTTCTCATCCTCGTACTCGCATCTGGGTGTGCTTGCGAAGGGTGCTGCGTAGAAATGCGGCTTCGACATGATGCCTTGCAGCCGCATCGCCCACACAAGTGAACGTTACGACAAGATGGATGTAACAATCCTTTCCCCCAAGGTTCCGACTCAAGAGATGCGTGAAAAGTTCTGTCCCACCACGGCCCGAAAGTGAAGAAACTGGAAGCGCCAACGCGTTATCAGGCGCTTTCGGCGAGGCACTGCGTGAGTCTTCTAAGATCGATTGAAGCTTGAATAACGACTTCGATCCTGCACCCCTCCAGGACTCCAAGACCCGGAAACGTATGATGGCCCCCTTGTGGGGCCATCAGGCTGCGTGACAGAGGTGTCCTGCTTCCTGCACCAGTACCAGTTTCCAGTTTCCAATTTTATAGTCAGAGTGAGGGGGCTGAACCGAACGGTCAGTCACTGTCCCTGGGTGCGTGGCTGAAGCGGAATTCCGCGATGCGGGCTCTTGTTGTTGTTTGTTGTTTGTTGTTTGTAATTTGTTGTTGCCGTCGTCGTCACACCCGCGGCCCGCCCCGCGACCCACCCGCGACCCACCCCGCGACCCACCCGCGACCCACCCCGCGACCCACCCGCGACCCACCCGCGACCCACCCCGCGACCCACCCGCGACACACCACCCGTGGCGGGTTTCTTTTGTATTCGTTCCAGGTGGAGAACCTGCGACCCAAACCGAGTTCAGTGTACAAAACAAAATGTTCGGCGCCTGCGGCGGGCTGTTTTTTGAATTCTGTCCAGGTGGAGGTGGAGAGCCCGCGACCCACCAGCGACCCAAACTACGTTCACTGAACAAGCCGAAAATTCCACGATGCCCCCTCCTCCTCCTCCTCCTCCTCCTCCTCCTCCTCCTCCTCCTCCTCCACCTTCCCCTCCGCCTCCTCTTGATCTTCCCCGCCATCCTCCCCCAAGTGTTCCCCGAAGGGTTTCCACAACGGTTGGGGGAACACATGGCCCGATACTTGGAAGAGCTTTTGCCACAACGCTCGGCCGCATGGGCGATTCTAGAAGGCGTGGGGCGGCGGTGATTCGCCGTAGGCGGCTTCGATCCCCCGCCCCCCGTTGATTTATTACAGGGGTGCCTGGCGTGCAAGATCCTACAACTTGTTCTTGGCTCTGTTCCAAAAGAACTCCCCCTGGGGCTTCCGTCCAGGCGCGGGCCACCTGGAAGGCTGCCTTCGACCCCGGTTGCAAAGATTTGTCCTGCTCCAGATGGCTCCAAGATGGCCCAAGATGGCCCAAGATGGCCTCCAAGACGGCCAAGATTGCCCTCAAGTTCGCCCAAGACGGTCCAAGATGGCCTCCGAGACGGCCCAAGATGTTCCGAGATGCTTCCAAGTCCGCTCAAGAAGCCTTCAAGGCGGCCCACGACGGCCCCAGAGGCCCCCAAGAGGCCTCCAAGACAGCCCAAGAGGCTTCCAAGAGGGCCTCCAGGAGGGCCCGCAGTGGCCAAAATCATTGATTTCCTTCGGTGTTTGAAGGATCTGGGCACCTGCTTCTTGCCGGCCGCCCGACGGCCCGAGAGGCCCCCAAGATCGCCCCAAGACGGCCCAAGAGGCCTCCAAGACGCCCAAGATGGTCTCCGAGGAAGCCCTGAAGCGATACAAAAGGGCCCCAAGTCGGTTCAGAAAGGCATCCAAGACGGATTTCCGACGGCGTCAGACGGGCCAGGAACGCCCGAAGACTACCAAAGCGGCCACGAACAAGCCCCCAAAGGCTCCCTAGAGGCCCAAGGAGGCCCCCAACAGGCCTCCAACGGGCCCCCGGGAAGCTCCCAGTAGACCCTAAGAGTGCCCCAAGAGGCTTCCAAGAGGCGTCCTCCTTCGTCTCCTTCTCCTCTCCTCCTCCACTTCCTCCTCCTCCTCCTCCTTCTCCTCCTCCTCCTCCTCCTCCTCCTCCTCCTCCTCCTCCTCCTCCTCATCATCATCATCATCATCATCATCAGCAGCAGCAGCAGCAGCATCACCAGCAGCAGCAGCATCAGCATCGTCGTCATCATCATCATCATCATCATCATCAGCAGCAGCATCAGCATCAGCATCAGCATCAGCATCATCATCATCATCAGAAGCAGAAGCAGCAGCAGCAGCAGCAGCATCAGCATCAGTATCATCCTCATCAGCAGCAGCATCATCCTCGTCATCATCAGCAGCATCAGCATCAGCATCCGCATCAGCATCAGCATCATCATCAGCATCATCATCAGCATCATCATCATCGTCATCGTCATCGTCATCGTCATCATCACCATCACCATAACCAGCAAAATCATAATCAACAACAGCAACAACAGCATCATCGTCATCATCAGCATCAGCATCATCCTCATTATCCCCATCATCATCAGCATCATCATTATCATCGTCATCATCATCCTACTCCAATATCCTCATTCTCCTCATTATGATCTTCCTCACGTGTTCCCCAGAAGGTCCGATAGCTCTAGCCCAACTTTCGGCCACATAGGCGCATCCAAAAGTGCAGGGGGCGGCAGTGATTCGCCGTAGGCGTCTTCGATATTTACTCTCGTTCTACCCTCTCTACTCGTTCTGCTATCTACCCTCTGTTCCCTACTCTTCAATACACTCTCTGCTATATGTTCGCTACACGCTACTCTCTACTCTCTGTTATGCCTGTCCTCCCCACACAAACACACACACACACACACATTCACACACATACACACACACACACACACAAAAAAAAAAAACATACTTTGCCATGACCATGAACTCAGGAACCCTGGAACTGGGAACCCAGGGACCAGGAACCCGGAACCAGGCAGTCCACCAAAGTCGGCCTGGCATTCTCGCCAAGCCCTTACAATATCATGAACCCGAAAACTCGGGCAAAGCCATCCGCCCACCGAATTCTGCCCGAGACGTGCGCCTAAGCTCTCAATATGCGCAAGGACCCCTTCCGTGCAAGCACCCATTGAGGAACAGCCCTGGACAAGTTCAGCGGTGAGTATGAAGTCCCTGAGCCCTCCTGCTCACGAGGGGGAACAACAGGAGGGACTGGCCCCCGGGGACCATCGACCCGGAATCGGCGAGACGTTGCCGACAGGTTGGCGACAGGCCCTCCACAGCGAGGCCGCACGTTCCTGGGCAGGGTGGGCCACGAGGCCCCCTGTCGGCAATGCATGGGCGCTTGCGGGTCGATGCCTTCCCCGTGTCCCTGCCCCTGCACGGACCGTTGCCCGAGCTGGTCCGCCGCTCTCGTCCGCTGCCGCGCATCCCCTGGTCGGGCGGTCAGAAGAGAGCACAGCGAAGAGCGGGGGGGGCCGCGAGGGTACCCCTCGCACGGCCACCTCGTAGCTGCTGTGCCCGCTCAAGAACGAGGGGGCAACGAGAGGGGGGGCTGGCTCGGGGGGGAAGCACCCAGCTGGAACCAGCGATACATCACCGAATGATCGGCGATGGTCGGCGGCGAGCGAGGGGGGGAAGTGATAATCTTAAAAAGGGGCGGGCCTTCTCAGAAGGCTCAGACGCCCCCCAACCTTCTGAGAGAAGCTCTCCAAGCCTTCCCCGAAGACAGAAAAAACCTCTCAGAAGGCGCGGGGGCTTCTGAGAAGTCCCGCCGCCTTCTGAGAAGGCGTTCCCCCTCTCACCTCCCCCCCCTCGCTCGCCGCCGGGATGGGCCCTCGATGGCGAAGCCGCACGCTCCTGGGCGAGGAGGGCCATCAGGCCCCACATCGGCGAGGAAAGGGCGAGCAGGGGTCGATGCATTCCCCCCCTGAGCCCACAGTGGGGGCCAGTCCACAGGAAACCTTCCACAAGAAACCCAACCCTGCGACCCCAGGACGTCCATTGATTGTTGGTGTGGGAGCGTCACGCTTTCCATGGCAGAACCATCGAAACCCAAGAAACTCAGGGCACTCTGGAGGCAAGCAGGGCGATTCTTGGCATGGGCCCCCCCCTGTATCCCCAGCATCGTTGCCCCTGAAAGAAACGGACGCCGGCCCACGCCAAAGCGCACGGGTGAAAAATCAGTGTGGCAATGGCCACCGTCGCGAGCTCGGGGGCGCCGAGGAAGGAGAGGTCCAGGAGAGGGGGGGGGCGTCGGCGCAGCGTGGCCAGAGCGCCCGTGCGCGGACCGGAGGGGGGATGGGGGGGGGGGCGGGTGACGCACGGACAGGCGAAGAGGGGGGCCCCTGGAAGCGCGTGGGATCTCGCGGCCCTGGCCACGACGTCCCACCCCCCGAGTCCTCACCCCCCCCCTCTTCGGCGCCACCGACAAGCGGCCCGCGGCTGGCGCGCGCCAGCCAGGGAAGGGGCCGATCGCCGAGCCGAGCTCTGCTTCGAGCGACGGCCCTCTCAGGAGCAGCGGAGACCGCGGGGGCGTGTGAGGCTCGCCCTCGCCCTCTTCTCCCCCGCTCCCCTCCCGCCTCCTCTTCCCCACATCCCGCACAGGAGGGCGACGTTCACTCCCCCCGCGGTGAGTCACGGCCGCCTGCTTTCTACATAATCGCGTATGGCTTCCATGTTCTCCACGAGCGCACTGGCAATGCGGCCCTCGACGGGCGCCACCGGCAGAAACCAATGCGGCTCGCACTCCACCGCGAACGTCAGCCGCATCATGCTCTCTCCAGGCTGCGCGCAACCGTCGAGCGGCTGCAACCGCCAGACCCCTCGGTAGTGCACGAAGTCACCCTGCTGCCTGGGCACATTCTGCATGGTGATGTCCCGCACGGGCACCCCCTCCACCTGGGGGGGGGCACAATACCTATTGATTCAGAGGGCAGAACATCCATCCCCATAAGAATCACCCCGACAGGCGAAGCCGTTTCGAAAACGCACCCAGGGAAGGAATCGAACAGGGCAGGGCTGTTTAGTAAACGCCCAGGGCCGTTTAGTAAACGTCAAGTGTCGGGTCTGGGTGGTTTTTCCTCCCTTGATGACTGCTGCTGCTCCCCAGACCTGTCCCCGGGGCACCCTCTGGTCAGGATCCGAGGAGAGGACCTGGCCGCGGCGGTGTGGGACCCCCTCTCCCCCCCCCCTCGGGAGGCTCAAAAAAGACAAAAACTCTGCAGAAGCTTCGGAATCACTACGCTTGCCCACAACTCAGAATCCGCTCCAAAACACTCCGCGGACCTCTCCCACGCTCCAGCCTGCCCATTCCTTTTCACCCTGGATCGATGTCCGATGGTCCCAGGGCCCGAAAGCGGCCTCCAGGCTCCGAGAACAGTGTAAAACCGAAAAACATCAATCCTGGAACCTCGAGGTAAACTCCACGCTTTCCCCTCTGACCACCGCGATGGAGAAGGGCCTGGGAAAGACGTCGCGCACGAGCGGCAGCGCGCGACCGTAGTCCCGGACCTCTGCGAGCGACGATGCGTCCATCCGGGCGCCCGCCGTCTGGCTCTCGGGAAGCCCGTCGCGGTGCAGGTGCACGTCCAGAGTGATGCCCGCCTCGGAGGACCAACCAAAGCGGCATCGGCACAAACTCTCGGAGTTGTCGCGCGGATCTCTTGGCTTCGGCGCTGAACCCCCGCGGGCACGGGCGGCATCCCACACGACCGCAGGAGCCCGCCCCGCGTCGCGGAGACTCCGAGGGTTGCATGGCCCCCTAGCCACGGAGTCACGGCCGTCAGGCCGCGATCGTGGGGCCGTGATCGCGGGATCCACCTCCCCACTCACCCGGCGGCACCTGCGGCCTCCGGCGCAACCCCCAGCGCGCCCCGCGCGCCGGGGAGGGGGCTCCTCCTCTTCGTCGTACTCCTCCTCATCCTCCTCCTCCTCCTCCTCCTCCTCCTCCTCCTCATCATCATCATCATCATCATCATCATCATCATCATCATCATCATCATCATCATCATCATCATCATCATCATCATCATCATCATCATCATCATCATCATCATCATCATCATCATCATCATCATCATCATCATCATCATCATCATCATCATCATCATCATCATCTCTTCCTCTGCCTCCTCCTACTCTGCCTCCGCCTCCCCCTCCTGGCGCTGACGCTGCTGGCATGGTGTCGATATTGACGCTGCCACCCTCCTCCTCTTCCTCCACCTCAAGGGCGGAGGGTCCAGCGCCGACCAGGACAAGTCCGACCTCCCAGAGTCGAGGCGTGTCGAGGTTGGTGCCGTTTCTGAAGGGGCCCTGGGACACACAAATTAATAGACACACATAACAGGATGCCCCATAGTTTCCCATATCTTCTGGGCGTCTGTGTCTCCCCCACACTTCCCATATTTTCCCACACTTTCTGGGAATCGCCCATTCCTTGTGTCTGTGTGCTTCCTCCCCTCCTGAGCTTCCCGGTGCCTCCGCGCCTGGAAGTAGAAGTCCCGCTGGAAGATGCGCCACGAGGCGCGGCCCACCTGCCAGAGCCGGGCCCCGCCGTCCGGGAAGGTGCGCTGCACCCTGTTCTGCACGAGGTTGGGCACCACCTGCCGGCGGGCGGCGCGCACTCGGGGCGCACAGGGACACACTCCTCCTCCTCCTCCTCCTCCTCCTCCTCCTCCTCCTCCTCCTCCTCCTCCTCCTCCGCCTCCTCCTCCTCCGCACTTGGATGCGCGCGTCCGACACGAACACATAATATACGCCCATCTTGTAGTGCTATCTTTTCCCGGGCGGTGCGGCCAGGAAGCGCCCACCACGACGCATATACCATAAGAGTTTTGGGTGCGCGCGTCGCCCCTGGGAGGAGGGGGGGGGCGACGCACACATCGTATTAGTATGTTGCGGTGACGACGGCGCACAGGAAGGTAGGGGGAGAGGGGAAGGCTTCTCAGAAGGAGGCTGCTTCTTAGAAGGCGCCGGCCTTTCAGGGGTGCTTCCAAGAAGCCTGTCCCCATCCGCCTACCCCCCCTCAGCGCGTGACCGTACCTGCTCCAGCTTCGCGTAGTCGGTCATCACCGCCCACACCTCTGGAGGGAGCACGGATAGCACAGCTATAGACTTGCGGAGGTCCGCTTCGAGTTCTTGGATCGGCTCTGGAAACCATCTCGGCCCTGCTTTTGCTCAACGCAATTGGAGGTCTGGGGCCTCGTCCACGCTCGCCCGGATGTCCACGCCCGTGAAGATGCGCCGGGCGTTGCCAGGGGCGTCCTCGGGTGCGCCGAAGAAGGGCGCTCTCAGGAAGGAAAAGGGGGGCTAGCGCATCATGGCCCGGGGCATGTGCGCGCACGAAGGGGGGGGTGGCCAGCGGAACGCGTTGAAGGAAGAAGAGGGACATGGAATCTGGAAAATGTCATGCCGCCAGCCATGATATCTATGCACCCCGGGGCCTCACCCCCTTCTTGGACACCCCCGATCCTCGACCAGGACGACCGGCTTGCCCCCCAGGATGAGGCATATGCGGTCCGTCAGCACAGGCGGCTTCTCAGAGGACCCCTCGGGGACGTCCTCGCTTAAGGGTCCGCGCTTGGCTGCTTTCCCCGCGCTTGCCCCCCCCAACAGGAGCCGATGCTCTCAGATCCCCTCGTGCTGCCGAAGGAATACGTCTGAAGAGTTTCGTTTGACGGTTTGCGGCCTCCACTGGTCATCGTCAGTTCCTGGACCTTCGTAAGACGACTCGGGATGCAAAGCCGGCCCGGGGGGGAAGGGTCAGGACTTCTGGGGACTTCGTATTGAAAAAATCAAGGCGCTAATATCTGGGTCGTCAAGCTGCCAGAGAGCAGATATTTGGGGCTGGTGATAAAGCAGTGGCAGTGGTGGTGGTCGTCGTCATCGACGTCGTAGAGGCGGAAGCAGGCTTTGGTAAACTGGAAGGTGGTCCCTCGGCTCGGCACACCATTTTACGTCACCCCGGACCGTGCCTGCTCGTGCATGCGAAGCCGAATGATCGAAAAAGCGGACCCGCCAGGGGTCTGGATCGACTCAGAAATTGTTAATTCGCCACCGCGCCGAGCCGCGGGTGGTGGCATGCTGGGCTCCCTGACTTGTTCCCTAAGCTTGCCACTCACAAAGCTGTGAACTCGCGAAAGTCGGAAACAAGGCCCCTAAGCACATCGAGGCCAACATGCGTCCAGGTCTTGCTCCCAGTCTCACACGTCCAGGTACTGCTCGAGTCTACATTCGCGCATCGCGCATCGCGCACCGCGATGCGCGGAGTGTGATCACCTTCGCGCCCTCGCGCCCCCGCGCCACCCCCATTGGAGAATGGCAGCCGCTCTTGCCCAGACCGCGACGCACGCAGCGCGGCGACCTGCGCGCCGCAGCGGGTGACATGGGATGTTGTGGAACCTGCCGTTGGTATGGATGCGTTGGTTTTCTGTGTTATCCGCCCCCGTGCCTGCACGATGTGGGCGTGGTAGAATGTAAGGGCCCCGCCCCCCTCTCGTAGCTGAGTGTCGCTTGAACCCCCCCACCCCCCTTCGAGGTCAGATCTTCGTATGCATATATATATATACACATTACGTATGTATAGACGGATCCGCGCTCCCGAGGCCACGATCCCTGGTTCAAAATGCTAGCCAGCGTGGGCCCCAAACAATGTGTTTCTAACCGTCTATGTGGTGCAGTCTACGTGGTGCGATTCACACTTTGACTGTCTTGAAGCTGTCCTCTGCACTGCTCGTGCAAACATCCCACCCTCCCGCCCGCAACTTGGTCGCAAGACTTCTCAAGACCGTGACGGTGGGTACCAAATGGCACTTGGCAACGACAGCGACGCCGACGACGACAGCGACAACGACGACGACGACGCCGACGACGACCACGACGACACCGACGACGTCTCCGACGACTTCGACTACGACGACAACGACGACGTAGACGACGACAACGACGGCGACACCGACGACGACGACGACGATGACGACGCCGACGACGACGACGGCGACGACGACGACGCCGACGACGAGGACGAGGACGACGCCGACGACGAGGACGAGGGCGACGCCGACGACGACGCCGACGACGACGACAACGACGACAACGAAGCCGACGACGACGACGACGACGACGACGACGTCGCCAACGAAGACGACGCCGACGACGAGGGAGGAGGGGGGACGACGACGGCGACAACGACGACAACGACGAGGGAGGAGGGAGGACGGCGACGACCTGAACGACGAAGAAGGAGGGAGGACGGCGACGCCGACGACGACAACGACGGGGGAGGAGGGAAGACGACGACGACGACGACGACGGCGACAAAATAGGAAGGACGACGACAAGACGCTGACGACGGACGACGACGACGACAAGGGAGGAGGAAGGACGACCACGGCGACAACGACGACGGAAACGACGACGACGCCAAAGAGGACGACGACGACGACGACGACGACGACGAGGAAAGACCGAGGACGACAACGGCGACGACGACGACGACGAGGGAAGAGGGAGGACGACGGCGACGACGACGACGACGACGACGACGACGACGACGCAAGAGCGCGCGCGCACGCTTGTGTTGAAAATCTGTGTTGCGAAACCCTGGGTTTTTGTATAAATTTTGGACGTTCGAGTTTGCAATCCCTCCGAAACCGTAAGCTTTTCAAGGACTTCGACATGCGCGCGCGACGACGCGCGCGCGTGTACTTCGTCCCGTTTTTTGGTGTTGCAGAGGATTCTGACGACGCCACGCGCGCGAAATTGAGTTCGAACGATTTCGACATGCGCGCGCGGGAAACCCATTTGGTAGTATTTTTGGAAATGTGGAAAACCGATGGTTTTCATAAGATGTCGCAAGAACGTGCGTGTAAGCTTGTTTTTTTTTAATAATAAAAAAAAAAAAAAAAAAAAAAAAAAAAAAAAAAAAAAAAAAAAAAAAAATGTTGCGAAACCCTGCGAAACCTTTCCGATATCGAATGTTTTTGAAGGATTTCGGCATGCGAGCGCGACGACGCGCGCGGGCATTTCGCCTCATTATTTTGCAATGGGCTCTTGGAAACTTATGGCATGTGACAAGCGAGTGCGCGCGCATAGCATTTTTGTTGCAAAGGATGGCGGGGGGGGATCGATACTGGCTTGGCTGGGATAGTCTGAATTCACAGATAGGGTGGACGAGCGTGCAGAACAAATTTTCAAATCACAATACCCCCGGAATCGTTAACCCGGGGGGGTAGAGTCTATTCTTCCTTTAGAAAGAAAAGGATACACGATACAAATCTATGCGGTGCAACCTACATGATGCGACCGATGATATGGAACATGTGTTGTGCAAAGTATATCGCGCGATCTTTGTTGTTCAGCCTATGACGTGCAATGGACGCAGAACTATATACATATATATATATACATATATATACACATACATACATACACACACATACATACATACATACATATGTGTGTTGTGCGACATGCGTTGTGCAACATACGTGATGCAATCTACGTGGTGCCACCCACGGAGCGCAGTCTATGTGTAACATATGTCGTGCGACCTATATGGTGTCACCGATGTGGCGCCACCTATGCGGCGCCATCTACGCGGTCAATATATGATGTGCGATCGATGTTGTGCGAGATACGTGGAGCAACGTACGTTGTATTGTATATGTGGTGCAACAGTTGGGGTGCAACCTAAGTGGCACCATCTTTGGGGTGCGAACTACGTGGTGCAATCTACGCAATGCAATTCATCCTGCCGAACTAGAAGTTGTCAACTCCACTGCTCGCGCAATCATCTCACCCACCCACCCGCGACTTGGTTCGCAAAACCCATGCGGAAACGATTGATATGACTGCTCAAAGCAGTCAACTAGTTGGGCGCGACCGACGCAGCCGCGGTGGCGCTGACCGCTCGGCACTTCCCACCGGGCACGTCAGTGCAAGTCGGCAAATTGGGCGGGCACGGTATCATGGCAACGCCGACATCGGTTGACCGATGATGATACAGGCAGAGAAAAAATTGGAAACGAAATTCCTCATTTTTCGCATGGAAACATTTGAGCACGCATCATATCAACTGCAACTTACACCTGTCACATGCAGCGCTGCACGCACGTCGAGCCGACGTGGGCCAGAAGGTTGACTAAAATTCTGCAGCGCTTGGATCGCGCCTGGGCGGCGGCCCCATCCGCTCGGCGGCGGCCCCGTCCGCGCTCGAACCGCCTTGAGACTGTCCGACTCCTGCTTTAGTATTAGAAAGAACGAGTGTGAGATGAATCTCCAAATCTGCACGACACTGTGCAAATTCACACACCAGACGCGTCCGATCGCGGTCTCCAAGCAACCTCAAACAGTCTCAAAGAATCTCAGTGCCCGAAACCCTCGGCGCCGAGCACAACCGCGAGTCTCACAGCGTCTCAAAGTGCAACGAAACCCTCGGAGCCGAACGCAGTGGCGCGTCTCAATGGTTTCCAAATCGCCCCGAAACCCCCGGCGCCGAGTACACCCGCGAGCCTCACATGGCCTCACAGTGTCACAAAACCCTCAGCGCCGAACGCAACCGCTCGTTTTCAAGGCTTCCAAATCGTTCCGAAACCCTCGGCGCCGAGCCCTTCCGCAAGTTTTCCCTGGTCTCGCAGTGCCACGAAACCCTCGGCGCAGAAGACACTCGCGCGTCTCAAAGGGTCTCACGATGGCCCGAAACTCCTGGCGCCGAGCACGTCCGCGCGACTCACGTGCCCCTGCACAGAGCCGCGAAACCCTCAGCACCGAACGCATTCGCGCAATTCACAGGGTCTCACAATGCCCAGAAACCCTGGGCGCCGAGCCCATCCGCAAGTCTCACATGGTCTCAGTGCCACGAAACCCTCGGCGCCGAACGCATTCGCGCGTGTCAAAAACGTCTTACATTGCCAGGACACACCCGGCGCCGGACGCATCCGCGGCTACCTCGCATCACGTCACGACAACACCTTTTTTGTCGGGCGCGGCAGAATGCCGTGAATCCCTCTCATGCCTGCATCTGCGTGCGTGCGTAGTGATTTGTGGTGCGCGTGCGTGCGTGTTTGGTGGTATGTGCGTGCGCGTCCATAAGGCGACGCGCTGCAATGCGACCACGTTCGATGCAACGCAAGGCCATGCAGAGCAATGGGACCGAAACGTCCGCACGCATTGAACTAAATGTGGACATCGCGCTTTCGCGCAAGGCATTCAGTACCGCTGCAACCTCCATGGCGACGCCACGAAAAACGTGGCCCCAAGGCAAGCGCGAAATCCATGTCCAAGCATTTCTTTTCGGACTGTAGTAGCGATGCTGGTGACGATGATGATGACAACGACCACGGCACAGCCAGTGACGGCGCCGATGCGAGTCACGCCGACGACAATGACGGCGTCGTCGTGTCGGTGATAAAGTTTCGGAAGGAGTTCGACATGCGCGCGCGGCCGACGCGCGAGATTGGCCCGCATGCTATGATTTGACACGGATCGTGCCCCCCCCAAGCACGCGCGCAAGTGCGTTCGAAAGATTTCGACATGCGGCGCAGGAGGCCCGCTTGGCCAAAGTTAGTGAAGATGTCGGCAAATCGATGGTACCTAGAACTTCGCAGGAGCGCGAGCGCAGGCATGTTCCAAAACTGATGCTGCAAAACATGTTGTTTGTTGTTACAAAGTGTAAGGGACACTCGGTTTTGAAATCCTTGCGGAATCTAGGAGTTGTTGTAGGCATGCGCAAGCGAAAAGCGCGCGCGCAAGTCGTCCCATATTGTGCAAGGGATTATTGCGACAGCACGCGCGCAAGGGCGAACGAGCGATTTCGACATGCGCGCGCAAGAGGCACGTTTGGTAGCACGTGATGCAAAAAAAGTGGAAAACGCATGGTTGCGTGAAGAATCTGCAAGAGCGAGAACGCAAGCTTTTTGTTAGAGAACTCGTGTTGCGAAATTACATGCGTTATACCGATATAGATATAGAGAGAAGCATATAAATGTGTGTTTTCGGGACAATCGACTCAGAAACCCGTGCGGAACCTACTGTGTTCGTCACTGCGTTTGCAAGGGAGCCTTGAAAAAGAATGAGTTTTGATAAACGAGTGTGCGCGCACAGCATTTGTTGCAAAAGGATGCTGAAGGATTACCTGTTTGGCTGGGGCGATGCTAATTCAGGATGGACGATGGGGCAGAATCATTTGCAAATTGCAATACGAAGAGAGTGCCCGTAAAGTCTGGGGGGGAGGGAGGAAGATCCTATTACTCTTGCAGAAGAAAAATATATGCGGTGCAACCTATGCAAGGCGGCGACGGGCGGCGACAAGGCGGCTACGGGGTGGCGACGGCGGCCACAATTCCGCCAGACCAAAGACACGGCCCATACGACGGGCGGCGACGAAGCGGCGACGAGGCGGCGACGGCGGCCACGTAGCCGTCGAACCGAAGACACGGCCCAGCTCCTTAGAACACTAAAAGCACTACTTCGGGAACAATGGATCCGCGCCCCCAGGGTCCAAAACGGCCAGTACAGGCAACCAAGGACAAGATGACGCAAGAAGCCTCGAACACGGGCCAAGATGGCCCCAAGGCAGTCGAATCTGGCCTCAAGACAGCCCAAGATGCTCTAAAGGGACCCAACATGGCCACATGAGAACCTCCAAGAGAGCCCGAAGAAACCAAAATCACCGACTCCATGTGATGTTCTCCATGAGTGTTGCATTCTCGCCTTTCCCGGCTTCCATCAGCTCAAGACGGCCAGGAAGCCTCCACGATGGCCCCAGAACAGCCCAAGAGGCCCCCACGAGGACCCAAGATGCATCCAAGACGGCCCCAAGACGGCACAAGAAGGCGTCGCATGGGACCCAAGACGGCCTGAAACGCGATTCGACTGCCCAAGACGACGCCAAGACGGCGCCAAGACGGCCCCACGACGACCTCCAGATACCCACCATACGACCAAGAAGGCCCCAAGACAGCTCAGAAGAGCTCCAACACGACCTAAGAGAACCCCAAGACGGTACAAGAAGGCCCAAGGGACTCCCAAGACGGCCTCACAAAATTGTGAATACAGAAGGTGTCACCTGTGACGGCCTTCCTCTTCTTCTTGTTCGTGTTTCGCATTATTATTGTTATAATGTGTCTTGTTCTTCGGAGTATGAGAATTACTAATAATACTATTACACGAATAGTAATATTAAGTCTGTTAGGATTGTTAATAGTGTATCAGTTTTAGTAGCATTAGTAGTATTACCCGGACTAGTAGTAGTAGTAGCAGCAGTAGTAGTAGTAGTTGTTGTAGTAGTAGTAGTAGTAGAAGTAGAAGTAGAAGTAGTAGTAGTAGTAGTAGTAGTCGTAGTAGTAGTAGTAGTCGTAGTAGTAGTAGTAGTAGTAGTAGTAGTAGTAGTAGTAGTAGTCGCAGTAGTAGTAGTAGTAGCAGCAGCGTAGTAGTAGTAGTAGTGTAGTAGTAAAAGTAGTAGTAGGTGGTGGTGGTGGTGGTGGTGGTGGTGTAGTAGTAGTAGTGTAGTAGTAGTAGTAGTAAGTAGTAGTAGTAGTAGTCGTCTTAGTAGTAGTAGTAGTAGTAGTAGTAGTAGTAGTAGTAGTAGTAGTAGTAGTCGTCTTCGTCTTCTTCTTCTTCCTCCTTCTCCTCCTAATCCTCCTGCTCCTCCTCATCCTGGTCCTCCTCCTCCTCCTCCTCCTTCTCCTCCTCACTATCATCATCACTAACGCTACAACAATAACCCCAGGAAGCATTTAAGAAACCCCCCGGCGATATCTTAGCACCGCATTTTTATTCGATATTCCGAGGGGCCGAAATAACCGCACGATAGGTTTAGCACCCGGACACACAACAAATTCGCGGAGGCCTGGCCCCTGGGCTACAATCGAAATTCGAAATTCAAATCTGCGTGGCTCTCATGAAAGAAACCCCAGGAGAATTCTCCTCAGGAGAAGGCCCAGAGGGGAAACCCCAGGTGACTTGGGCCCTGACAGGCCTTGGGCCCCGAGGGAAGGAGGGGGGCGCGGGAGGAGGAGGAGGAGGAGGAGGAGGAGGAGGAGGAGGAGGAGGAGGAGGAGGGGGCAGGAGGAAGTTCGTGGGTGGAGGAGAGGAGGAGGAGGAGGAGGATGAGGAGGAGGAGGAGGAGGGCTCCTGGTGCCAGGTAACGCTTCCAGGGTGCGGAAGGGTTATCGATTTGCCGGAAGGGGGGGGGGGGGTTCTTAAATGCTTCCTGGGGTTATTCATCGTCATCATCATCATCAGCAGCATCACCATCATCATCAGCAGCAGTAACAGCATCAGCATCAGCATCAGCATCAGCATCATCATCATCATCATCATCATCATCATCATCATCATCATCATCAGCATCACCATCATCAGTATCATCATCACCACCACCACCACAACCACAACCACCACCACCATCATCATCATCATCAGCATCATCATCGTCATCATCAGCAGCATACCATCATCGTCATATCATCATCATCATCATCATCATCATCATCATCATCATCATCATCATCACCATCATCATCATCATCATCATCATCAGCAGCAGCAGCATCATCAGCATCATCATCAGCAGCAGCATCATCAGCATCATCAGCACCACAATCATTATCATCAGCATTGTCATCATCAGCATCATCAGCAGCATCAGAATCGCCATCATCATCAGCAGCATCAACATCCGCACCAGCATCAGCATCATCAGCAGCATCATCATCGTCATCGTCATCGTCATCATTATCATCATCATCAGCATCAGCATCAGCATCATCATCATCGTCATCATCAGCAGCAGCATTAGCAGAAGCACCATCCTTATCATCTCCAGCATCCGCATAAGTAATCCCCATTATCATCATCATCCTCATCACGACTCTCCCAAGCCTGGACACGCGGGATCACATGAGACGGCCTCCGAAGAGGAGGACCCCCTCCCCCTCCAACTCTCATGTTGGTGGTGGTCGAAAACAGGTCCATGAGGCCAGGGGGAGCAGCAGCGGCGGCACCGGCCACGAGCGCTGCCAAGGGCAGTCCTCGTCCTCCCTGCCGACGCGGTCTGGGACGTGCCCCCGGCGCCGGCGGCGGAGGAGCGTGGCCGTCCGGGCGCTGGCAGAGGTGAGCCACCCCCCGCGGCCAGTGCTGGAGCCTTGGAGGGCCCCCCCCTTTGTGCCTCGCCGCGAGGGCCCTCCTGAGGGGCCTCTTGGGGGCCCCCCCGCCAGGCCTGTGGGCGCCCATCCCTGGCGTCTTGGCCCTTTCTGCCGCGGCGTGGAGGCCCAGAGCCCGCTCGGGAGCGCGTCGCGGCAGCGCCAGCTCATCAGCAGGGCGGCAAGAGCTCTGAGCACGTCCGCCGCTGCTGGCAAGGCCAACCCTGGGCCCATAGGAGCGGTGCACACGCCACCCTGGAGGAGGAGGCGGAGGCGGAGGCGGAGGCGGAGGAGGAGGAGGAGGAGGAGGAGGAGGAGGAGGCAGAGGAGGAGGCGGAGGCGGAGGAGGAGGGGGAGGAGGAGGAGGAGGAGGAGGAGGAGGAGGAAGAGGAGGAGGAGGAGGAGGAGGAGAAGGAGGAGGAGGAGGAGAAGCCAGGATGGCGTGTGCACCTCTCCTGGGCCCAGGATGGCATGGCCAGCGGCGGTGGACGTGCTCATAGATCTCGTCCCCCCGATCGGGATACACACGCCCGCGCGGCCTCCCCCACGCGGAAACGTCACGACTCGCGTTGGCGCCGACCACAGCGGAGGCCAGTCCACAAGAAAATGTCCACAAGAAACCCAACCCTGCGACCCCAGGACGTCCATTGATTTTGTTGGTGTGGGAGCGTCACGCTTTCCATAGCAAAACCATCGAAACCCAAGCATCACAGGGCACCCTGGAGGCAAGCAGGGTGTTTCTTGGCATGGGCCTCCACTGCACACACACCTTCGCCCTCCCCACGTGGAAACGTCTCGACTCGCGCTGGCGCCGACCAGAGATGGCGAGGGGTAGTTCGTTCCAAGGACGGCGCCGGCGCGATACGAGACGCTACCTGCCCCCTCAGCTTTCCCCCTCCCCACCGGCAACGGCCGCTCCCGAGAAGATGCAAGTTAAAACCCAGACCCACTCCCGTAGACCAACCTTTCATCATGAGCATTTCCTTGACGGTCCCCAGAAGACGAAAATTGCCAAAACCGTCCTAATGTTTCTCAAAACGCGAGGGTGCTGCCTGGGTCTGGGCGTCACAAACCGCCCCCCGGAACTGTCCAGGGGTGCGCTCCAGACACAACTTCGAAAGGAGCCCAGCCGTGGCGACGAGGAGGGGGCCCCGGGAGGCCCGCAGGAGGATAAACAGCGACACCAAAAAACGGGGCCAGGGCCACCTGTGCCGGCGCCCAAGCTGTGGCAAGCAGCACGCCGCCCCGCCCCCGCCGGCAGACCATCTCCGCCAGCGACCTCAGCCAGCGCGCGGCGCGTGACTGGCTGGCGTCGCGCGAGGAGCCGCCCGGCACCTCGAGGCGCGCGGGCGCGCCAAGAGGCCCAGAGGGCACACTGATCGCATGGCTCCGCCCCACTGGCGGGAGGGCGGAGAAGAGGGCGGGGGAGGAGGGCGACGACGAGGAGAAGGAAGACGAGGAGAAGGAGGAGGAGGGAGGAGGGAGGAAGGAGGAAGGAGCAAGGAGGAAGGAGGGTGAGGAGAAGGACTGGGGAGGGAGGGAGGGAGGGAGGGGTGGAGGGAGGGTGGGGGGAGGGAGGGAGGGAGGGAGGGAGGAAGGGAACGAGGGCAGGAGGGAAGGAGGAAGGGAGGAAGGGAGGGAGGAGGAGCAGGAAGAGAAGGCGCACGAGGAGGAGCAGGAAGAGGATGAGAAAGAGGATGAGGATGAGGAGGAGGAGGAGGAAGAAGAAGAAGAAGAGGAAGACGAAGAAGAAGAAGAAGAAGACCAGAAGAAAAAGAAGAAGAAGGTACAGCCCCTACCACCCCTCCCTGGGCCTCCACCCCACGGGGTACGGGCCCTGCCTGACCACACCGTGCACTAGTTCTTTCCCCCCCATTGAAGAAGAAGAATTTTGCGCCGTTCCAAGATTGAAAAAGTAAGCGACCTGCACTATTCTGTCTTGTAACTTATTTTTCCTTACATGGGGAAAGGCACCGGCCAGGCTCCCGAACCCACCTCCGTACAAGTAGGCACAGGGGTAGTACTACTGGTCATACGAATCAATAGGAATCAATGAGTGGTACTAGGACCACCAAGAATGCATACGAATGATTAAGAATCAATCGGAATCAACGGGAACCAAGAGGAATCCACTGGAATCCCTGGGAATCAATAGGAATCAACGGGGACCAATACAAAACAATATGAAGAATTTGAGTATATAGGAATCCATCGGAATCCATGGCAATCAATAGGAACCAATGGGAATTGATAGGAATCCATGGGAATCCATAGGCACCCATGGGAATCAACAGGAATCAGCAGGAATCACTAAAATCAATAGGAATCAACGGGAATCAAGAGGAAGCAATGGGAATCGATTGGAATCAATTGGAAGCAATTGGAATCAATTGGAATCAATAGGAATCAATTGGAATCAAGGAGAACAGATAGGAATCAAAAAAGATCAATAAGGATAAACAGGAGTCAGTGGGAATCCATAGGACTCAATGTGAAACAATCCTAATTAAGAGGAATCACTGGGACTCTACAGGGATCAGTGGGAATCCAAGCAAATCAACGGGAATCAAAAAGAATAAAACGGAGTCAACATGAATCAAAAGGAACCCATGGGAAACAATCAAGCCATAACCATCATCATCATCATCATCATCATCATCATCATCATCATCATCATCAGCATCATCAAAGTCGTCGTCATCATCGTGACCGTCATCACCATAATCATATTATTATCCCACGCCATCATCATCATCCGAATCAGTCCCATCATCACCACCATCATCAGCTCACAATCATCATCAACGTCATCAGCAACATCGTCATCAGCATCGCATCGGCAATCGTCATCCTCGTGAACACCACCAGCAGGACCATCACGACGATCAGCATCATCATCGTCATGATCGTCGTCAACATCATCATCATCATCATCATCATCATCATCATCATCATCATAAACAGCTTCAGAAACATAATCCGCATCATCCGCATCATCATCATGATCATGATCATGATCATGATCATCATCATCATCATCATCATCATCATCATCATCATCATCATCATCATCGTCGGCATCGTCGTAATCGTGGGCATCACCATCGTCGTCATCATCATCGCAATCGCCGTCATCGCCATCACCATCAGCATGATCGCCCTCATCGCACGGGGAGAGTGAAGAGGCAGAGGAAAGAGAAGGAAGAGGGGAAGGCAGGAAGGGAGATGGAAGAGGGAGGAGGGAGGAGGGTGATGGAGGGGGGGAGAGGAAACAGGGCGGAGGGAGAGGGAAGAAGGAGGGGCGGTCGGATCCAAAACTCCCAACTCCTCCGCCGCGGCAGCGGCGCCGGCAGACTGGCCCTGGACAAGGAGCGAGGCGGAAGAGGAGGAGGAGGTGGGGAAGAGAGAGGAAGAGGAGAAGGAATAAAGAGGAGCGAGGATGAAAAGGAAAATGGTCACAGGGAACAAGGGTGAAGATGGGCGAGGAGGACGATGGCGATCGCCATCATCATCATCGACATCGTCATCACTGACAGCATCACAATTAGCAGCACCGCTATTAGCAGCACCACCATCATCGTGATCACCATCACCAACACCATGTCCAGTATCGCCATGACGTTGAAAAACCATCACCACCACAACCACCACCATCGTCATCCTCATCATCATCATCGTCAGCATGACCACCTCTATCATCAGCATCGTTCCCATCGTCCTCACATCGCCATAATCATGATATCATCATCAACCACCATCATCACAATCACCATCAAAATCACCTTCATCATCATCCGCATTATGATCATCGTCATCGCCACGGCCATCGTCATCCTCGTCAACACCATCACCAGCGGGACCACATCAATGATCAGCATCGCCTGCCGAGGTCGCCCGGCGCCCTCGCCCGCCGAGGCGGCTGCGGTCGCGGGCCCCAAAGGCGCCGCCTGCGGCGCAAGCCGCGGCGGCGCTGCCCGCAGCGCCGCCGAGGGCCCCGCCCGGTAGGACGCGGCTGGCCGCGGGGCAGGGCGTTCGGCTGGGCGCCGGGATGGACTTCGGGTGGGGAGTCGGGCGGGGCCGGGACCGACCTCGCTGCCGCCATGAGAACGCAGCGCCTCAGGGCGCGCCTGGCTTTCGACACCAGGTCCCGCCGTTCAATGCCGATCAAGAGGCAGGGAAGGAGCACGTTGCTGGTCGCGCTGCCGTCGCTGCGGTACTGCTCCAATGATGCAGGGCGGCGCTGGTCGTCGCGATGGTCCTGCTGAGGTGGGCATGTTGCTGGTCGCGCCGCGCGCTGGTCGCGGTGCTCGTCTTGGCCCTGGCCGTGTGCTGCGCTGGAGCGTGCGCGGCCGTCGCCGCCCCGCCACGACCACCCAGTCCAAACCAGGAGGGGGGCCAGGGCTCGGTTGTGGCACCATCGTGCCACGGCCAGCGGCGGGGCGGGCAGGCGAGGGCAAGAAGGGCTGAGAGCTCAGCCCTTCTTGCAAACTGGTACAGATCCCACTAGGGACGTTGCAGCAGCGGCACAGATTCTCCCTGGGACGGCGCAAAACTGGCACAGATCCCACTCGTCTTGCATGCGTCACGGGGTATCCTGAGGAAGCACGAGGGATTGCAGGAAAGACTGCTTTCATACCAACGACGACACCACAACAGGCAGCGGACATTGAACACGAACACGGAGCCACGAGGAGTCATGGATTCCTGAGGATGCCCTAGGAATTCCCCACGGATCCATTGAGATTGGGATCCTGCAGATTCCCTGGGAATCCGCAGGATTCCCTAATGATTATTTCGGATCCCTTCGAATGCCCTAGGGCTCCTTAAATTGCCCGAGGGGCTCCCTACGGATCCCTTCGGAAACAGGATTCCTGTGGATGCCATAGAGTCCCCCACGATCCACCTAGGACTTCTCAGGGATCCCTACAGATTCTGGAGATACCCCCCAGGGGGTTCTAAAGATTCCCGAAGGACCCCCAGATTGCCGAAGGAGTCCTCCTGCTCCTCGAGGGATCCCTTCGGATTCCCCACGGATGGTTTAGGAATCCCTCGGTTCCCGTGGGGGTCCCTTGAGGGCCTCGAGGGATTCCGTAGGGGCTCCTACGGATCCCCGAGGGGCTCCTCAAGGGTTCTTTGGGTTTCCTTCGGATTCCCGAGGGATCCCTTGAGGATTCCTTAATGTAGGGTCCCTAAGGATTCATTATCTAAAGATGCGTGGGGATTCCGTAGAGATTCCGCGGGTAACTAGAAGGCTCTCACGAGGTGCCGCGGGGATCCTCGCATGTTCCCATATGGAACCGTGGGGGTATCACAAGGCTCCAATTGGACTATGCAAGGATCCTTCACGGTTCCGCAATATGTATATATATATATATATATATATATAGTATGTAACCGTTTAAAACTGTGCGGGGCCTGCAGAACCGTACGAGAACCGTGCACGAACCCTGCGGAACCCTGTACGAGCCGTATGGGGCCTCCCTACAGAACCCTATAGCGGTCCCATGAACTTCGACCCTGGCCAGGTCAAAGAGAAGAAGGAGGAAGAGAAACGACGAAGGAGGGAGAAAGAGAAGAGAGAGCCTCCCTCCTCCCTCCTCCCTCCTCCCTCCTCACTCCTCCCTCCTCCCTCCTCCCTCCTCCCTCCTCCCTCCTCCCTCCTCCCTCCTCCCTAGCCGTTCTGGCGCAGGTGAGCGCTTGCGGGTCCTCTCTTCAGAACGGCAAGGGGTCCGCGGGTCAATTTTGGCTTCTATCTTTCTCGTCATCTTTCCCAGTCAGACTGATGTCCCATGGCCCCTGCAAGGGCGGCGGCGGCGGCGGCGGTCAGGGAGGCACTCCTCCCCCGTGGCGCGGCGGCGGCTCCAAGGGCTGGCAGCGGCAGGACTGGAGTTACTACGACTACGGAGGCGCCCAGTGGCCTGGTGGCAGAGGCTACGGCGCGGCGGGCAGGAGCGAATGCTGGAAGTGCGTTGCATGCGGGTGCGGCAAGACCACGGTCTGGGCGACGCACTGCAAGCACTGCGGTGCGCCGAGGCAGGCCCCCTGGGCCAGTCAGCATGCTCCTCCTCGCGGTGTGTGGTCTCATCAGCCGGGTCTGCCTCGTGCGCCTGGGCATCACCCCCCAGGTGAGTGGGCCGCCCTCCCGCCTGGACCTCAGCTTGGAGGAACGGCGCAGGGCACGGGCAGCAGCGGCCGTGGGCAAGACGCCCCACTGGACGCAAAGGAGCTCCAGATGCTGGTCGCCCTGGCACGCCGCGCATGTGACCAGGCTACCGCGGCCAGGTACCAAGGCCAGCTGGACTCCATGGCGGCAGCCTCGAAGCCGCCGCCAAAGG